ATATATATATAGAGAGAGAGAGAGAGAGAGAGAGAGAGAGAGAGAGGGAAAAAACTTAAAAAGAAAATTTGACTTTTGTTTTATTGTACAATCATACTATACATTCAGGCTAAAATTTAGAAGGAACACGTGTCGATGTATGATTGAACAGTTTGAAAAATTAAAACAAAAACACCTAATCATTTTCTGATACATCTCTTCACTCTCCTATTTTTAAGCTTAACCAAATGACTTTATTCTTTATTGTACTTTATTTTTGTCTCAATTTAAGTAACTTTGTTAAATCTCGTGAAATTTTTAAATGCCAAAAAATGAACGACCATCCTATGTGGCCTACAAAATGACTTGGAAGAAGTGATATAAACGAAAAATATACAGTTTAGGTTATTCTCAATTCACAAGTTTAATGTGTAAAATATATTTTTCAATTGTATCACTTCTTTCATATATTTTTTTTTACGGCCACATTGATGAAAGTAGTATATAGCCTCTATTTGGTTCATATTCCTTTCTCATTAAAATGAAAAATATGGTCGTTATCCATCACATCAAGTCACCCAATTTGAATTTCTATCTCTTATGTGGGCTTGTAACGGCCATATTTTTCATTCTCATTCTTCTAAAAATATTAAACGAACGGGGGCATAAGAGCCACGTTAGTATTTGACATTAAACAGTGTAATGTAATTGAATGAAGTGATGAATTTGAAACAATACTAAAATATAGTGAGTCAATTAAAAAGTATAGTGACCATGAATGAAATGAACCCTATTTTTTAAAAGGTATGATTATTACTTATAAAGAATAAATTTAAAATTTATGTTTAATAAAATAAGTAACTTAAATGTAAATTTATCCTACTTTTGAGCACAACAAGACATTTTCTCAATTTTGTTGGAAACCTTTGGTGTAATTAGGGAGGTGATTTATTCTCACACAAAGATGGGTTTCCCAAGGAAACATTTCCAAAGGGATGGAAAGGCAAAAATGGATTATATGCAGCTGGCTTTACCAAACGTGGCCTTTTAGGCATATCTTTCGACGCAAAAAGAATTGCCGATGACATTGAGAGTTGTTGGAAAATCAGTAAATAACCACCGATTCAGACGGCGGCGCCACCGCCGACAAATTGATGCATGTAAATTTTAGCCAAAAAATAGGTTTGTTTAAATTTATATCAGTGAGTTTATTTATATTAATCATGCAAAGAAAATGCAGTAGCAGACGATTAGATGGTATAATGGCAAATTTCTTTTTAGTCATTAATACTGTCGAGTGTTCGATTCTGTCGAATATGTAATTTAGTTTAATTGAATTATTATTTCAGTGATGTGTATGTATAATAATTTTGTGCATGTACCACCATAAACTTTCACTAGTATTCTAAAAAGGGTAAAAAAAAGCAACGGCAAAGTGTTCTACAATTGTCTCGTAAATGGACAAGGCGTGGAAAAAGGTCGTTAACTCCGCTTTTTACCGCTTAATGCTTTTCAAAACAGCAAAAAATAATAAAATAAAAATAAAAAAATCAAGTTTTTAAAATCATTTATAGGACCTAATGAATAACCTGGTCTGGGCACTAAATTAATGTTGAAGATTTTTTGAACCTATTTACCTCAAAATGAACCCCATACGTGCTTTTAATTTTCAATTTTCTAAGCTTTAAAAATTTGTACTTCTCTAATTGTAGAATTTATTAATAAATTATAATATTTATGATTTTTGTTGTTGGTGTGCGTTATTTTATTAACTTAATTGTTTTATGTAATATAAATGATATTAAAAATAAGAAAGTACCTTTTCACTTATAGGCTTCTAAACTTGAAGCTTGAACTTGTCACACTTTAAGGTAGCGCTATTTCTATCCACTCTTCTTATAAGTACATCCATTTTAAAAAAAAAAAATTTATTATATATTTTAAATTCTATATAAATTTACTTAAATAGACATAAACAAAATTAAATAAAAATACAAAACTCTAAGGGCTTGTTTGATGGGCACCCAATTCCATAGAAAATAGAATTCGCTTTCAAACTTCCATTTTTTGTCATGTTTGATAGCAAATATTTTTCATGGAATTCCCGTTCTTGGTTTTCTTGGTTTGCTATATTTTCTTGGTTTTTCTTGAAAACCAATTCCTACCAATAGGCTGATCTGCAATTTTTTTTCTTTTTTTTTATTGGCAATAAAAATAAATTTTAAGAATTATTGTAAAAAAATATTTCCCTTTAATTAACAATTTTCATTTAAAACAAAGTCAAACAAATATCAAAAGATATATGATTTTCTTGAATTTTTTATTTTTTTGCGCAATGAAAACAAATTTCATCCCCAATACTAATAAAATCTATCACTTTAATTGACAGTTTTAATATAAAACAAAGTTAAACGAATATCAAAAAATACTTTTATTTCAACATTTTTCACGTGAAAAATTATACCATTCAAACACAATAATTTACAATTCCCAAGAAAATAATTTTTAGGTAATTCAATTCATTATAATTTATTTTCTTTCCATCCAAATTTCATTTTTGCAATCAAAGGAACCCTAAACTGATCCACTAATTTTTACCTTCATTAAATTATCCTAAATCATTTTTTATTTTTTTAGAATTTGTGTTTAACTAGAATCGTAATATATTAAGAAAAATTACATGAATATAATTAAGGAAAATTATGCAATACTCTAAAAAATTGACTAATTTGATCACTATCATATTAACTGATGAAATCATATAATTAGCATAACTAAAACATTTTAGAACTACAACACCACCCAAAATCCAAATAAATAGTTCTTATTCCAGAAAACTCTCAGAGAGAGATTCTCGTAACCTACTACCCCACTTCTTCTTACCACATTCTAGAATTGCATCGTGTTTTTTTCTATTTGCCCAAGAACACCTATGAAAAGTGCAAGTATGAGCTTGTTATGGAGAGAATGCTCCAGATGCAGAAGATCTATGAACAGTAAGCCAAGATGAAAGGCTCTCAAAAAGACCAATTGCCCATTTCTCTCATCTTCAAAACAATTGATGCTTGACTCTGAAAGATTCTGTTAGTCAAAACAATGCATCATTTGGACCTTTGCTGAATTCAAGTTCTTCATTACTAGGATGTTTATGGAAATTTTTAGGAAGAAGCTAAACTGTGGGCAGTGGTAGTCATCGGAAGACTTAATTTGAAATTATTTTGGTGTTATGTAAACATGATTACTAAACTACTCTCACTTTCTCCTAGTAATCTAGTTCCAAATAAATTTTCCATATTTGATGTCTGTTTTACTATATGTTTTCTAGAAAAACTGTTGATGTTTTTTGATTCTTTACAAGTGATTATTATTTCAACGTTTTATGCAAGTTTATGATAAAATCATAACTTTGTCAATACTAGATAATGTAGGTACTGATAGAATGAATGATGCGTTGTGAATATTTGAATTCTAGTACGAATTTTCCTTACAGATTCTTAAAAAAAAAAAAAATGAATCCATAGTGTTAGGGATGTATTTAAAATGAGATTAATATATAAATTTTTTGTGGATATATGTTATTTAAATGAATGAATTTAGTAAGGACAAGATTGGAATATAACGTGGATGTAAATAGTATCTTTTTTTTTTTAAAAAATTTAAAATTTTATTAGGGATAAACTTAGAGTGGGGATATACTTATAAACAGCGTGGATAGAAATAACTACATTCCAATTTAAAAATTGTAACCACATTTTTACGAAAAATTAAAATTTGATTGACGACAAGTTTAAGAAAAATAACAACATTTTACACAAAAGTAAAATTTGATTGACGCTCTCGACAATCCAAAGAAAATCACATTCAACAACGATAATCTAGAATCTAAGTCTAGTAGCTAGATCCAGCCTTTAATGTAGAGCCATGGCTTCGGCATCTTCAAGCGATAAACTATCCGAATTTTTTATAATATTTGATTGATTGTCGAGTGACATAGACCGTGTTTATGGGATTTAGGTCGAGACCTAAAAATTCCACCTAAACTTGTATAATGCTTAAGCTAAGGTGATTTGAAATCAGTCGTGTGAACAAAGATCGATTAATATGTCCATTTTAGGGTAGAGAATAAAGTGATTTCCAACCTAATCATGAAGAGACAAAATTCGAAAACGATGAAGAACAATCTTGAAAATGACAATTCAAGATGGACAGTAATCTTGAGTTATGTTTTAATATTTGTAGCATTTTAGCCTGTAGGACTTATTCCGACAAACTCAAGAGGATTATCTACAATTATACAAAATAAAAATCTTTATGACGTCCAATCAATATCAAGTGGAATTTTCTACTTAAAATTCATTTGGACCATCTTAAAGAGCTACAAATAATTGAATTGGACCATGAAAAAATTAACATCAGTGGTGCTACGTAACTTGGTCCCAAAATTTATTTTCCGTTTTCTTTTCATATACATCTGCGATTGTGAAACGAAGAAAAAGAAAGAGCATAGAAATAGTATATACAATTAAATGTACCTATTAAAATGGATTCTCTGCAAATTTCTTTGATACACCTTTGTAAATGGGTCCAGAGATTATTGATAGCTAGGGGTATATCAATTTGACTTTATCGGTTTGGACAGCTAATGACTCGACCTGAAAAAAGTCCGAATTGACCCAGCTTGTGGCACGAGTTTAAATTTTAATAA